TGTGGCCAGCTCAGCCCACCAGGGGGCAGGCTGGCTGGCATGTGGTGCTGGGGGATTGAACCGCGGTCCCTAATGCTTTAGGTAAGTTTGTTCTAAGTAGGTGCTTTAGACCACCGAGCCATCTCTCCAGCCCTTGAGACAGGGTCTTACTATGCAGTTCAGCCTGGTCCTGAGCTCAGTATGTAGGCCAGGATGGCCTTGAACTCTAAGCAATCCTCCTGCCTCAGCCTCCCGAGTGCTGGCATTCCAGGCATGTAACACTGTGCATGAACTGGTTTTGTTTTTGTTTTTGGCAGTACCAGGTATCAAACTCAGGGCCTTGCACTTGCCAGGCAGGCATGGTTTTGGTTTTTTGAGACAGGGTCTTTTTTTTTCTGTATTTTAGGGAACGGTCTACAGGGTGTTCAGGGTCTCACTATTACAGCCTCCCAAGTGCTCAGATTACAGGTGCGCACCACTTCGCCCAGTCTCACTTGCCATCTCAGTGCTCCCAGGCCCCTGCACCTGCTTGCAGGTGCTTTAATCTCCCTTTGAGCCAGGATCTTGATGTGTAACCCAAAGCAGTCCTCTTGCCTCAGCCTCCAGGAATGTTGGGATTACAGGCTGTTGCCACAGCTCCTGTCCTGTTTCCCTACATTTAAGTAGTGAGCAGCATCACATCAGGGCTCCTTGCATGCCTGGCAGAAACTCACTCCTGAATCACACCCCAACCCCTCAGGTTTGCTGTATTCTTGGACCTTGGGCCTGGCACACTATTGGTCACCTGTAGTCTACCTCCTTGGGAGGCAGAGGCAGGACGCTTCTGTATGTCCAGGAGTTTGAATCCAGCGTGGGAAACACACCAAGGCTCTGTCTCAAAAACCAAAACATCAGGCCACTCTTGGTGTCCTTGTTGTAGGATCCAAAGGGCTCAGTTCTACCATATGTATCAGATCCCCAGGGCAGGCTAGGAGAACATTTAGCACTCAGGAGCCAGGAGTTCAGGGCCCTGAGTGAGGTCTCCACTATCTTCAAGGTTCAAAGACTCAGGCAAAACCAAACAAACCAAGGTCACAGGGCATATCCTGCCTGGAGGGATAGCAGGGCCAGGCTGAGTGCCCTGAGGCAGAAGGGGATGCTGGGGGAGGTAGCAGGAAGTCGCCTGCCTGCCCACCCCTGCCCCTGAAGCCTCCCAAGAGGATGGAGACTGCTCAGCTCCTCTGGGCCCTGGACACCTAATACACCCACCACCCTGTGGGGATGGATAGACCTGGTCTCCAGCAGGGTCCATCTGCCTCACAGCTGGCCTGGGGGAGGGGGTGCTAAAGCCAGGATTCTGTCCCATGATTGCTGAGGGTCGCAGGGGACTTGGAGGCTCAGCTGTTGTTCAGACAGTGCCCCAACTTGTGTTCCCCTGGTGTGCTGGCCCCACATTCCAGGCCCAGGCATTTCCAGGAGCCCTGGAGGAGGTGACCCAGAATGCCCTCCTGTCTGATGCTGAAACTCCACCTTGGGTTCCTTCCTGGGCTTTCCCTCTGCAAAGGTGGGGACCGTGGTGGCAGCCCTGTTCCCCTGGGGCCAATGAGGATGCAGCCCTTCTCTGCACCTGAGGCCACACTGCCTGCCTGGGCAGCTGACCAATGTAGTGAGCCTGCCTCAAAAAATAAAAAGGAAAAAAAATAAAAAGGGCTGCCAACTAGTGCAGGTCCTTGCCGTTAGTGGTGGTGGAAATGAAAAGCACAGGTTCATGGGAGAAGCTTTAGTTGGGTGCTTGGGCTCCTTACAGAGGCAGCAGGCAGGGTACTCTTGAGTCAGGACTGGCTGGCCCTGGCTGAGGCAGGAAGATCAAGTTCAAGGCCAGCCTGGGCAACTTAGTGAGACCCTTTCTCAAAATAGTCTGAGATTGTCAGCAACCACAAGGCTCAGGGTTCAATCTTAATACCATACACAAGACTTATTCTGAGATCTTTATAATGCAATACATCCTGCTTGGGGCTGAGGAGATAGCTCGGCCTAATCACCTGCCTGGCAAGCTCAAGATCCAAAGTTTGACCCTCAGTACCAAATGCTGTACTGGTCCCGGAAACTCCAGGTGCGGTGGCATACGCCTGTAATCCCAGTGCTGGGCAGGCTGAGATGGGAGGATCACTACGAGTCCGAGCTGTGTAGTAAGACCCTGACCAAATACATTAAAAAAATAATAAAATCAAGGAAAAAACCCTCAAATATTGGTAACTATTTCCACAGAGTATGAATGAACAGAAGTGTACAGGCTCCCTTCACTTGTAAAGCTCATGGCTTTGGAAGGGCTGGGGTCCTCTTCATCTCGCCCCGAAGTCCCATCGAGAGTGGCTCCGACTGATCACACCACACCCTGTAGCACGGATGTGTGTCGATGCCCAGCACACGTGTTGCATGAAACTGCAGCCCGCTAACAAAGGACATTTTATTGTTCAATCTTACAATGTCAGCATCAATGCTAATAAAAATATATATAATAAGGGAACAGCTGTAGTTCCGCGAAGGCGCCTGCCGGGTCGGGCGGCCTTTTATGTGTTATGGGGAGGACGCTGACTGGTCCCTGTCAGAATGGGTAAGGCTAGACCTCCCCCTCCGCGTTGCTAAGAGCAAACAAGTCCCAAGAGCGGCCGGACACACATCTAGGCAGGCGAGAAAACTCACGCTTCCCTGGGGTTGATATTCTGTCCTCTTGGCAGTATTTTTACAGTTTAAAGGAGGAAATCGAGTCTGTCAGTTGTTACGTGCTTGTAAGAGACGGCTCGGTACAGCGCATGCGGTGTTGTGCTGTTTGTGGTGCTGCAGATCCAACCCAGGGCTTTATGCTGAGCTCCACTGCAGCCCTTTTGAAAATGCCTGCATGTAAAGTATGTGCTTTACACGTGTGCTTCACATGTGCCACGCACTCCCTGTTGTGTGCATGCTTTACACGCGCTGCCATGTGGGCTTGCACCACCAGACATGGCGCCATTAATGCATGGCTTGTTGGCATCAGTCTGGCCACAGAATGGCTCACGGAAAAGATTTTGGTCTGAGGCTGTTTTAACCAGTAAGGCCTTGCTTTGTACATACATGCCATCATCAAAGGCAGAATCCGAGGGATGTTCAGGAAATGGTTACTTTCACTCATCAGCTTTGTGTGTATGAGACAGAGACAGACAGCAGAGGAGGAGGGATTGATTAACTTTTAGCTTATGGGACTCCCTTCCTGAGCGCACTAGCTGGGTGAAAGGCTGTCTGGAGTACTGTCAGGATGTTCAGTCTTTTTAGCAGGAGCAAGGAAAGCACATTCCGTAAACTGGAGAGACTGGAGCAGGCCACTGCGTACCCGCCTGAGGTCGGCTGCGTGGCTGTGTTAGTGGGCAGAGCGTAGACGGGGCTCTTAAGTGCAGACACCTTGGTTAGCCTTCCTTGTCTGGGAGCCTGAGCCCAATTTACATAGATTAGGGGAAGGCCAGGGAGGGACCCCAGGTCCTGCCTTCTCCCTTATCTCAGGTCACATGCAGGTGACCTGTGTCAGTCCGTCCTCGGGGTCACACTGCCCGTCATCCAGCTCCCGGAGTGCGCTGCTGCCCTGGGCTAGGCTCCCCTCCTTGGCCCAGCCCTCCTGGGACAGAGATGGGGATGGGGACAGGGTTGGGAGGCCCCCCCCGGCAGGGGACCTGCTGTCCTGTGGTGGCTGCGTGGCTGCGTCCAATCCAGGGCTCCTGCTGTTGGCGTCGGTTCGATCCTCGCCTGGCCCAAGCCGGCTGCCTCCGCTCTGCAACACAGGGGCAACGTGTTTGACATGGCTGAGACATGCCGATGACAAGGACAGCCGCAGCAGAGTCCCCAGCAGAAGCTGTGCTTGGGCCAGCACAACACAGGTGTGCTGCCTTCAGCTGGCCTTGCTGCCCCATGATGACCTCTCTGCCCACCAGGCGTCCACTCTGATATTTGTCCAGGGCTGGTAGTGTTCCAGGTACAGCTCAGTCAAGAGACTGTGGTCTCTGCAAGGGGACTGTGTCACCACAGGCTAGGTTGGACTCGGAGCTCAGGAGAGGGAACCAGCACCCCCCTGCAGGGGCAACCCCCAAGTGGCCTCACCTGCAGGCTGTCCACTGCCACCGAGATGCCACACACTGTAGTAGGGCCACATGCTCTCAGGCACACAAAGCTGAACCAGGACTTACATTTTTGTTGTATTTAGACAGTTTCACTATGCAGTTCAGGCTGGTCTTAAACTCACTTTTTATCCTTGGCTGGCCTCGAGCTTATAGCAATCCTCCTGCCTCAGCCTCCCAAGTACTAGGATTATAGGTGTGCACCACCATGCTAACAATACATTTTGAAAGCATAATAATTTCCATATTTACAAAGAGTACTTACCCAATTTTATTTGTGTGTTGGGAGCTAAGATTATATTTTCCTAACTATAAGAGCTGAAATTATTGCTACTATTATCATTATTGTAGATTTTCAAGTGGTCCCACTAAGTCACTGAATTTCCCAGGCTGGGCTCAAACTTGTGCTCTTCCTGCTTCAGCCAGAGTGCAGGGATCAGAGCTGGAATAAGGGCACTGAGAATGGACACCCTCTTCTGGAAGCATGGCCGACAGGTGGGTTGGGACTGAGTCCCTTTCTGTGTCTCCAGTAACACTGACTCTCACATCCCCAGTGAGGATTTTCTTCTGGGCCCTAGGGATTGAACTCGGGGCCTTGCGCATGCTAGGCAAGCCCTCTGCCACTGAGCCTTTTTAATTTTTATTTTGAGACAAAGTGTCACTAAGTTTCCCAGGCTGGCTTTGAGCTTGTGGTCCTCGTGCCTCTGCTTTCCTGAGCTAGAATTGTAGATGTTGAGTTACTGTCCCTGGGGATGACTCTAATGATTATTGGACACTTATTAAAAATACCATATTAATACTAATTCTTTTTTTTTTTTTTTCAGAACTGGGGATTGAACTCAGGCCCTTGGGCTTGCCAGGCAAGCGCTTATTCTACTGAGCCATCTCCCCGGCCCCCATTTTTTGATTTTTGGTTTTTTTTGGCGGAACCAGGGATCGAACTCGGGCCCTTGCGCTTGCCAGGGAAGCGCTTATTCCACTGAGCCATCTCCCAGGCCCCATTTTGTTGTTTTTTGAGACAGGGTGTCAACATGTAGCCCAAGCTGGCCTCAAACTAAAAGGCTTCTGAGTGTGGGATTAGAGGGGTGTGTTACCACGCCCTGTTAATTCACTTTTAGATTAGCATTCCTAGCTGCCTTTTGTAAATGTTAGCGCTGTTCCTCTACAGGATTTCCTAACAAGAACACATTTATTTTCTTACCATGTGACTGTTGCATTTAATAAACACTTGGGCAGTGCTGTTGCTTCCCCCACCCCGCCTTCACCGCACAGCAGCAGGTTCGGCTTGTCCGTGGAGCTGCCCTCGGCATAGGCGCTGAAGTGCTTCAGATACGGGGCCGTGGCCATCAGCTGGGCCCAGAGGACACCTGCACTCAGCCACAGTCATGGGTGCTGGCCCAGAACACTTCAGGAAGATGAGAAGTGGGAAAAGATTTGTTTCCTGAATAAGATTCTTTCAATTACAGAAATAACTCACAAAGAAAGCCTGTGCAGCTGGGCATGATGGAGCATGCCTGTGATGCCAGCGCTCAGGAGGCTGAGGCGGGAGATTGCTGTGAGTTCCGGGCCAGCCTGGGCTGTGCACTAGGTTTTTTTTTTTTTTTTGTTCCGAATGCCTTGAGGGCAGGTTTGGCTGGCTGGAGTTGTGGGGATCGAACCCCAGCATCCTGAGCCTGCCTGCTTTGTTGAAGCAGCCTCTTAAAGAGCTAAGCTAAGGGGCGGGCCCCCTGCAGTAGGTTTACAACCAGCCTAATCTGCATAGTGAGGCCCTGTCACAAAATAAACACTACCCCCAAAAGAAAAGAAAGCCTAGTAAAAGCCAAGAAAAAAGCAAAACTCCGCTGTAATCCCAGCTCCTGGAAATGTCACCACTAGACCCTTGGCGTATCCCTCGAGTGCTCTTCTATAAATGTGCCCATATTTGCATGTACACAGGGTGGGGGTGCTAGAGCAAGGGCGTGGGGCAACACCGCGGCCGCGGCGCCAGTGCGGGAGCGGTTGGCACACTGGGCCCTCATGGCTGTCTCAGTCGAGCTTGGGGTCAGTGGGCTCCGTCAGAGCGGCCCCTGCAGCCCCCCACTCACCGTGGGCGTCTGGGCCGCCGGGCTGCACAGCACTGGCCTCTGCAGAAAGACGACCTGCTTGGTGGCCAAGTTCCCGTCCCTGCAAGGCAGAGCAGCCGCATCAGCATCTGTGTCTCCATCACACTGTTCACGCCTGGCCACCACAGCCCACGGACAGCCTTGCGCCCAAACCGTTTGCAGAATACTCCTTGCACCCAAACTGCTCCTGAAACAGGTCTAGCTGTAAATTGCAGCTGGAAAAGGAAAATCCTCATTACAAAAGGAAACAACTTTCATGTTTCAAGATTCCTGGGGCTGGAGAGATGGCTCAGTGGTCTAAAGCACCTACTTGAATCAAGCTTGGCGAAGCACAGGGACCACGGTTCGATCCCCAGCACCACATGCCAGCCCGCCCCGCCCCCTGGTGGGCTGAGCTGGCCACACACACAATAAATAAATGTAATAAAAATAAATAAATATTTAAAAAAAAAAAAAAAAAGATTCCTAGAATCTCCCATGCTCACATAACTGGGCTTCTTTCGGGGTGCTAGAGGCCAACCCCAGGTCTCCGCATGCTGGTGAGCACCCTGCCCCACCGCCTGGCTTTCCTCATCTCCTGGGTTTTGTCACTGCACCTTCCTATGTCTGTGCAGCCAGGAGGGTCTCATCCACCAGCTGCAGTAACTTCCCAAAAATCCACAGCTGGCCAGGACAGAGCAGAGCCCAGCTCAGGCAGATCCCCGTCTCCAGGCGTAGCGGGACACAAGGAGCCAGGGTACCCGAGTAGGTGGCCCTGTCACAGAGTGCACAAGAAGCTGCAGCCGTGCGGGGGCCATACGCAGGCACCCACCCTTTCCTGTGCCTCCTGACCCCAGGAGAGCCCTGTGCTGCTGGTGCAAGGAGGACAGACGCCAGGAGGCAGAAAAAGCAGGAAACCCAGGCAGGGCCTCCTGTAAACCTTAAAGCCGTGGTCAGACTCGGGCTCAGACTCCAGCTTGGCTCCACTTGTGGGCAGGAGAACTTGGGAGCATGTGGCAGCAAGGCCTCTCCCCTCCCCTTGTCTCTCCTCTTCCCCTCTCCCCTCTCCTCTTCACTCATCTGGTACAGGGATTGAACCCAGGACTTTCCCACCTAGTCATGGTTATTTTTTCCTTTGAGGCAAGGTCTCTCTAAGGGCCAAGTCACGGGGCCAGGGAGATGGCTCAGTAGAATAAGCGCTTCCCTGGCAAGCACAAGGGCCTGAGTTCAATCCCTGGTTCAGCCAAAAAAAAAAGTGCCAAGTCACTGACTGCCCAGGTGAGGCTGGACCTTTCCACCCTCCTGCCTCAGCCTCCACAGTATGGGAGGACAGGCATACACCAGCATGCCTGGCTTAGTGCAAGGTTTATTAGCCCTAAACAGACCCATGTCCCCCCTCATGACTGAGGACGCTAACATGCAGGTACACACCACGTTCAAGTGTCCGGGTCAGGAGCAGTGCTCAGAGGTCACAAGCCGCTTTCCTGGGGTGCAGAGGAAGCCCAGTTGCACCCAAGATGAGGTCCCTTCCCCAGCAGAGGTGGCCACCCTGTGATGGGGCCCCTGCTGTGGCTCCAAGCAAGCAGCATCCTCTTGGGGGACCCAGCTGTCCCTGAGGGTGTGTCCAGGGCCTGGAGCCAGGCCTGAGGCAGATGCAGCGGGCACCCCCTCACCCTCTCTGTTCTAAGGACACGACCCCGTCACGCTGCGCCTGGAGTCCTTCCTGCACAGCACACCTGAGCACGGGTGGCATGGGGCCCACCACCTCTTGGGGCACCTGTCCAGTATGGCCCTACTTCTGCCTTCCCTTTCCTGGTTTCTACGCTAGGCTGAGCTGGGAGCGCAGTGGGGCCCCTGAGCTGTGCCCTGAGATTGCATCTTTAGTGGCCAAATAACGCCGTGGAAGAGTCCAGGTAGCAAATGTAAGCAGCGGTTCCTTTACTTTTGAAAAATTAAGGTGTTTCTGGCTTCTACTGGCTGTGAAAGAGGCTTTTATGGAAATACTCTGGTCTTCCTCCTCCAGATTACTTCCTGGAGATCAGTTCTCAGAGGTGGAGTTAGGGGTTAAAATCAGTCAAGTCTGCACTGTCATTCTCTTTATCAAAAAGAAAAACAGAAGATAAATAAGAGACCCGCTTGGGTCCACATGGAGGCCTACCATGCCCAGTTCCAGCGGAGGGCCCGAGTCTTTCCCAGGCACTTCTGTAGCGGCTGCCCAGTGTGCAGAGGGTGGTGTCCCCCACCAAGGGCTGGGCTTCCAGTTCCCAGGAAGCCCCAGGCGCCATGGAGCTGTGGGAAGGCACTGGCCAGTGTTGCTCAGTTACAACTTTTATTATGCAAAAAGTTCCACTCAGCCTTACCCCAGTTCTGCTGTCCTAGAGCCCTGCTGAAACTCAGGCCTGAGAGGTGACTGTCACTGGCACACCACCGCACACCCCAAGGTTACGGTGCCAGGGAGCTCTTCCCCTAAGTGGTAACAGGAAACTGCTCCAGTTCAGTTCAGTTCAGTTCAGTTCAATCTTTTGGTCTTTTGAGACAGGGTCTTGATGGGTATCTGAGCTAGCCTCGAACTTGCAGTGACCCCCTCTGCCTCAGCCTCCTGGTATTTTTATTGTCAAGGCCCCTTTTTCTCCCTCATTGTTTTCGGCCCGATCCCCCATGAGAAGATGCACTACGATGTGTAAGGCAAGAGCTGGCGCCGCTGGCTGGCTGGTGTTGGGCAGTGCTGGCAGAGTGGTGGACACGGAGCTGGGCAGTCTGGGACCCGGGAGCACTGGAGCGGAGCTTTATCTGCTGCTGCATCCAGTTCTTCCATCAGGGAGCTTGTGGCGGTGAATGGATCCCTGTGCACGGTGGCAGCCCCTGCACCTGGCCCATAATAGTGCAGTGTCCTCCTCTGTCCAGCCAGGGGACCACGCGGAAGGACCAGTCAGAACCAGTGCTGACGAGTGAAGCTCCTACGAGGCTGGCAGCCGGGGGGAGGCCTGCAGCCCTGCTCAGGCTGTGTGACCCAAGTAGAGAACCAGAGAGAGGCAGCCTGAGATTATTCAAAGCGGGGAGGATGAGAACAGGTTAGAATTACTCCCAAATAGAAAGGAAATATAGCCATGCAGGGTGGTACACACGGGACCCCGGCACTCCGGGAAGCTGATGCAGGAGGACCTCAAGTCCCAGCTCCGCCTGGGCAATTTGGCAGTTTAGTGAGACCCTGTTTCAAGCTAGAACAGTAACATCATGGCTTGGGAAGCAGCGCAGGGTGAGGCCCAGCATGAGGAGGGCACCAGGCGTGTCCTGAAGGGGGCTGCCAAGTTGGAGCAGCGAGTTCTCCCGTCCGATGGAGGACGGTGAGTCACAGCAGGCCTCTCCACTGTCCTCCTCTTCCCTCTCTGTGATGCCACAAGTTGAGGGTCTTTCCCATCCCAGGGCCCCAAAATCTCTAGCTCCGAGAGGCCAGAAACTGGCGAAACTGACAGACACCGTGGCGATGACACCTGCACTGAACGACAGTGTCGGTGGGCACTCAGGTGCCCAGGCCTGTGCTCTGGGGTGGGAAGCAGGGACTCGGCGCTTGCTGACGGGAGCTCTCCTGGTGTGTCACTATCTTGTGCATCTTGAGGGCAATTTTAGTTACACAGGCCACCTAGGCACAGGACACATGTCTTCTTGCCAGCCATAGTTTCTCTTCGGTCCTGGCCTGTGTGGTGCATGCCTGTGATCCCAGCACTCGGGAGGCTGAGGCAAGAGGATCACTTATCTTAAGGCCAGTGGGCTACATAGTGAGACACTTTTTCAGTCAATCAGTCAATCAATCAATCAATCAATCAATCAATCAATCACCAAGGGGGGAGAAGAGAGATCTGCTTCTCCTTAAAGCAAATGGCACTGACTGATCACAGTGTTCCTCCCTTGGGAGCTGCTCTAGTGTCTACTCTCGGTGCCCTGGCAGCTACTGCCAGAGGCCAGTGACAGGGAGGTGACAGTGATGTCCCAGCCTCTTCTCTATGCTCCAGTGACACTGCTTGGGGCCACTGCGTGCTCTGTGCTGCACCTGAGCCTGCCCCATTGCTCCTGAAGGTGCTGTCCTTACTCACCCACGTGGGTTCTCTCTCTGGACCATAGGAGCCCTGTAGGGACACACATTCTGTGCGGATATTCACCCTGCAGGGACACTCGTCCTATGGGGACACTCGTCCTGTAGGGACATTCATCCTGTGGGGACACTCATCCTGTGGAGATATTCACCCTTTGAGGATACTTGTCCTATGGGAACACTCATCCTGTGAGGACACCCATCCTGTGGGGGACACTCATTCTGTGGGGACCCCTGTGGGGACATTTGTCCTATGGGGACACTCATCCTGTAGGGACATTCATCCTGTGGGGACACTCATCCTGTGAGGACCCTCATCCTGTGGAGATACTCACCCTTTGGGGATACTTGTCCTATGGGGACACTCATTCTGTGGGGACACATCCTGTGGGGATACTCATCCTATGGGGACACCCATCCTGTGGGGACACTCATCCTGTGGGGACACTCATTCTGTGGGGACACTCATCCTGTGGGGACACTTGTCCTATGGGGACACGCATCCTGTAGGGATACTCATCCTGTGGGGAGCCCTGTGGAGACACTCGTCCTTGCATGGAGCTGTCATCCTCACAGTCTCTGCAGTGCTCACCGCAGCCATCTCTTCTTTCCAAGCCAATTACAGCTCTGGGAAGCCGCAGTCAGCCCGAGAGGGTCCCTGTCTGCCTCGTCCACAGCACATGTTCAGTGAGGACAGGTTTCCAAGTCACCGTAGGGGAGCACTACACTTAAGGCGCACTGCAGCTGAACGGCGTAGGGCTGAGCCAAGTTTAAAAGATAGGGCTCATCTGCCTCTGCGTAGGCACAGGGGACAGAAATACCCTCCCAAACAGCTTTCACTTATGGCCCCTTAAACAGGGCTGTTAGGCTAATTTGTATTTCTTAAAATACTTTTGTCTTATCCACTAATTGCCTCAGTTTATAGCATTTGCAACTCAAAGATAAATGGGTAATTTAGCAAGATTCTGTCTCAATACTTAAAAAGAAGGAAG